GCTTCTGCTTGTGGCGCAGCAGGGGTTAACCCAGGGATCCCATGTCCCGTTCCCATCAGGGAGCCCAGGCTCACCCAAGTGACACCAAGGGGCTATTTTGGGACCTGGCAGCAGATGAAGTCACGGGGGTTCTGCCCCGGCAGCTCAGCTTCCATGGGGCTGAATGGATCTGGTGGGGGGGCTCTGCTTCTCCCACCAGTATCAGGGAGGTTGTGGGGACCAGAGGGGGACAGCAACCACTGCTCCCTGCCTGCTGCAGTGTGGGGACACAGTGGTGCCTGCACCCCCAAACATGGGTGTACCCCCCTGGACACTGCATGGATCAACAGCCCCTTGCTCTGCCCCTATGGGGGTCACTGGGGAGGGGACCAGGCTCTGTGCCCTCTGCCCCAACCCTAGGACAGCAATTCCCAAGAGATAGCTTGGAAAAAAAAAACCGTGATCCAAGCACCGGGATTGGGGGGGGCGTCACAGAACCACGGAGTCCCCTGGGACCTCTGCAGGAAGCCTTGGGGACAGGAGGATCCTCAGGGTACCACATCCCGCCCCCATCCCCAAAACCCCCATAAGGGTCCCCCCTCTCCTCTTACCTTCTCCTTCTCCTGCCCCTGTCCTGGCTGGACGAGCCCAGCCAAAAACAGGGGCAAAATCCAGGCGCTGCGGAGCCAGCCCCCCATGTCTGGGGCAGGTGTGGGGTGCGGGCCCCCTGCTCACAGCGCCGGGGGGGGGGACACACGGGCACACAAACACACCCAAACCCCCCTCTCCCTGCCGCCTTCTGCCACCTCCGAGCCCGAGAGCCGAGAAATAGCTGCTGGGCTGAGCGGGGGGAGCCAATCGCCGGCAGGAAGGACGGGCCGGGGCTGCGTTAACCGTGTGCGGCCGGGGACGGGCACGGCGCCGGGGCGGGGGGGGGCACGGGGGTGCCGTAACCATGAGTGTCCGGTAACGGCGCACGGGGCAGTGATACAGATAGGTAGATTTATGGATAGATAATTTATGGATGATAGATTTATAGATAGATAGATACAGGGCTCAGGGGATGTGCAGCGTGTTATAGGAGCCAGGGAGCTGGGGATTGAAACCCACTTGGGGTGGAAGAGGTGCCGGGTGTTGTCCTCACCGTGCGTAGGGCACACAGAGAGGGGAGCTGGCACCCGGGGAGATGGGGGACTCAGCAGCGTCTTTGGGGAGGCGGGGATGGGGTCCAGGATCCTTCCCCTCCCATGGCTGGACCCTTTATAGCCCAGCAAAATTAGGATGCTCAAGAAGCAGCCCTGGAGGGGCGTCCCCTCCCCAAGGGCTGGGGGATCATAGCCCCACAGTGACCCCACTATGGCTGCCACTGTCCGTTAACCCCTTGTGTCCCCATAGAGCAGGAGTTTCCAGGGCTTTGTTTTTATACCCCAGGGAATACAAACGTTTACCCTGGGCTGGCTCCAAGGGAAATAACCGTGGGGAGGTGTAAATTCCCCAAAATCCCACAATAAAGTTGTTTATTGGGACAATTAATTGGCCAGAGGGGAGCTGGGGCTGCGGTTTGGGATAGGATCAGGCCTGCAATGGAGGCAGGACAGGGTGTCCCCAGGGGGACAGGGATGCCACACGAGGTTTGGCTTTACTAGAAAGCAGGGTCAGCCCTGTCAGGGAGCTGTCACGGAGCTGTCACGGAGCTGCGGGAGATGCCAGCAGGGAAGTGGAGCCAAGCCATGGGCTTGGGGGAGGCTGGGAACTATCTCCCATTCTTTCCAAGGAACACCATGTCCTGGGAAAGGCTGATGTTATCAGGCTGTGAGCACAGCCTTGGCTGGTGTGGAAGGGCTTCGGGTCAGGTACATCACACACACACACAGGGAACCCATGGAACTGCACGTCCTTCTATCAAGGGCAGCGTTTCCCAGTGCTTTAAACCTGCACTGCTACTGGTGAGGCAGCTCAGCCCTGCCCCGGCATCGGTCCCCACGTGTGGGATGTTCACCCAGGTCCAGGCAAAGCCCTGAGATGCTCAGCTGCTGCCTGGGGACTGACCAGAGCCCAGCACAATGCATCAACAGTTATCCTGGCTGCAGGGATGCTCCGATCACCCCTCATGGATGTGGCCATGGGTGACAACATGCAGCTCCTTGCCAAAACCAGGGGCTCGATCCTCCCCATCCACTTCCCAGCTCTTTGGGGCCATGGATCCACGGGGCTGCAGCTCCTTTCCAACACACTGCTTTCACCTCGCTGCATCCTGCCCCCAACAGGGGCTGGTGTGAGCCTGGCTCTGTGCTGTGCTCCCACCCAGCTCACACCTGGGACAGAGCTGGGACAGAGCTAGGGAGCTGCTGGGGGCTGCACTCCCTGCCCCACTAGTTCGCACCATGGGAACAGCAACACAGTTCTGATTGTATCCCCTAATTGCCTGTGTGGGGCTTTGGTGGCTTTGCTGTGATTAACAGGGACTTGGGGGCTGGAGGGAGCAGTGGTGGCACAGTGTGGTTGTGTCCCTGATCCCATTTCTCCAAATCCCCTCTCCTTTGGTCCTGGTGCCAAATCAACCTCGATGGAGGTGGTGAATGGGGCAGGATTTAATGAGCCATGTTTGATGAACCCCATCTCTGCCACTGAGCTTCAGAGGGACCCTTGGCACATCGGCATGGGAGAGCTGAGGGAGCTGGGGGCTCCAGCAAGCCCATCTGAGTGCAGGATGCTGCTCCAGCATGCAGGATGGGGTCCCCCATCCCTCCCAGCAGGCCACTGTGCGGGCTGACCTAGCCTGAACCTCCCTCCCCGGTTGTTTTTCCACCAGAGCCTGACTGGAGCCAGCCCCCTCTTGCTGCAGATGTTTGGCAGGAGCCTGGGGCAGGAGGCCAGCCCCTGGTCACTGCGCTGCCGCTGCCATCGGCCTCCCCGCTGCCCCCGAGCCACGGGATAGGGGTGCAGAGACCTTGCACCAGGCTGCAGGGCCATGGTGATGGGTACAGGGAATGTGAGGACCACAGACAGCTGCTGGGCTGTGCCCCAGAGCTGAGAGAAGCTTCTGCCTGCAGAGTGATGGGGACGGTGCCAGGGACGGTGCTTGGGCAGCATCACCCTGCTGACAGCAGCGTTGCTTTGCTCTGGCAGCCCAGCATCAGGCCCAGGGCAACCTCTGAACTTTTGTTCTAGGTGTGCGGCAGCAGGCGGAAGCAAAACAAGCTTTGCTGGGCGAGAGGCCCAGCTCCCCCAGCACCAGGCTTCCTGCATGGAACTGGCTCCGCAGCTCATCCAGCCCTGGTCACCCTGCCCCAGTCCCTGTGATCCAGCAGGCACTGCACAGTGCCCATCGCCCTTTGGAGTACAGCTTGGAGCACCCTGCTCCAGGGGAAGGTGTCCCTGCCCATGGCAGGGGATTGGAACTGGCTGAGCTTTAAGGTCCCTTCCAACTCTAGAAGCACAGTGACAGCATCCTGTATCACCTCCTCCCACCGGGGCCACCAGCATTGGCCTCCCACAGCATCCCAGTGGATGCTGAATCACCCACACCATGAAGTGCCTGCCTGCTGCAGCATCACCACTGCAGGACCTGCTTTTTCTGTGGGGAAAAAGGCAGTTTTCCTCAGCAAGCACTGCCCTCCGAGCTCCAGCACTGTTCAGGCACCAGAGCTGGGGCCACAGGGGGATTTGCTTATCTTGCTCAGTCCTGGAGGAGGAATTCAAATCCATAGCCCTATTTTCATGCTTTAAAAATGTCCTGGCTTCATCCTGCGCTCATTTTGCTCCGTGCAGTTGTTGTCATGGACAAACCCATCTTTCCAAGGCTTTGCAATGCCTTTCCTGGAAACGTTTGCCAAGAGCTTGATATTTCCTAGAAAATTCCTGCCAGGAAAGGAAACCTCTCATCCCCTCGGCTGCTAACGACAAAAGAGCACGGAGAGGTGGCAACAGCCACCGGGTATGGCTGCAGGGACAGAAGGGAGGTGCGTGCTTTTCCTTGGATGTTTTGCTCCAAACCAGGCTTCCTCCTCAAACCACTCCAGTATTTGTGGATCTTTCCCTACTTCTTTCATAGCCAAGGAGCTCAGCTCCGGTTCCCGGTGCCAGACGCCGCTGGCTGTCCCCACACCCGATGTGTCCCCAGGGAAGGGGCTCCAGGGTGGAACGTGGTGGGGAGGCAGAGCTGGGGCTGCTCCCTCCCAGCACAGCCATAATCTCCTCCAGCTGCCGCTACGGCATCGAGCCAGGGAGGGAGGGAGGGGGGGAACAACAGGAAAATAACTCTGGTTATTTGCCTCAAACCCTGCAACTTGAGAAGGGGAAGAGAGACAGAAACATGTTTGTGGGACAGGCAAGGAATACGTGTCCAAGCCCTCCCTGCACGACCGCAGCCCATGGCTCCTGTGTAGGCCCTTATGATCGATCCCTTGGGGCTGCATCCCCGTCCTGGCCTTCCTCCCCAGGTCCTGCTTCCCTGGGAATCGCCTGCCCCTCCAGCCCTAGCACCTAAAGCAAAGCTGTTCAGATCAAGCCACGCAGGGATGGGGTGCAGGGTTTCTAACACCGCTGGATGATTGCTTTTTCCAGCAGAGAAAATGGGATTTAGCCAGTTCCCACCAGCATCACCGCAGCGTCTCCCCACAGCCCAGCCTGATTCATCTCGTTAGGAGTGACCTTTCTCGCCGTGAGTCACCGCGACGCCGTCTCAGCCCCAGGATGCAGGACTGCAGCCACGCGCCAACGCCTGGGATGTGATGCTGGTCACCGAGTGGGACACAAGCAGCCAGACAATCCCTGGGGATCCTTCCCACTCCCTCTCTGATGGTTGCTGCCACTGTGATAGCCAGATTCAAGTTTGCACTCCCAGAGCATGGGGCTGTAGCCACTGGGCTCAAAGGCTGGGCAAGGACCCCAAGGACCTTGAGCCAATGCAGTGCAGGAGGTCAGCACAGGGACAGCTTCTGGAGAGGCAGGGAAGCATCTCAGCTCCTGCGCACGGACACCATTGTAGTGTGGATAGAGCCGCACAACACCACCACATGTAGAATAAAGTCCATTTATTTCATAGCAAGAGGCACTGTAAGAGCTTACATGGTCCTTACCACTGCCTGGCACAAACCCCTCTGCTTTGCCCTCCCAGACAGGGGCACAGACCCTCCCAATGGGTCAGCCACGCTGTGCGGAGCCCCTCACCATCATTAGGGGCACAGAGCGCAGCCATTGTGTGGGCAGGATCTGCCCATGCTCCTCTGCCCCATGAGACCCAAGGGAACCAAGCACCCCACAGGGTTTTCCTACAGTTCCAGCAGGTATCTGATAGAGGAGAAGCTGGTCCCAGCTGCACGTCTGCTGCACAGCCAGGCTGGGCTCTGTCACCAATGCTTTTAGCTGAGTCTCCCAATGCACAGTCAGAAGCCACATCCATCTTGCTTTGACCCTTCTTTCCCAACCACCCTGATGGCTGGGACTCCAAAGAAGAAATAGCTTTGCTGGGCATTTCCACACCTTGCTGCTTGCCTGGGAAGAAATAGGTCACCAGGGAAGGTGAGACCAGCCTGGCTGCCTCATGGGAGCGAGCCATTTCTAGCTGGACAGGTTCACAAAGTCACACATCTCCTGTCTGGTGCCCAGGCCACCATCTCCTTGACAGTCCCCATGAGCTCAGTAGGTAAATAGGAGGCAGTGGAAGAGCCACGTACAGGGGCAGGCATCCGGGTGCTGGCCGACCCCAGCTCCTGCCCGTCTCTCCCCAGCGTTTTGGGTGCTCCACTTGGTCCCCAGCACAGGATCCCATGGCTGTGGGCTGTCTCTCATCACCTCCACCTCACACGATGCCATTGCGTGTGGGGTGAGTCCGTACCCGGTAGATGATGACGGCGGTGGCCGGGCAGAGCACCAAGGCTGTCATGACAAGGATGGTGGCCAGGATGATCAGGATGATGACCCAGATGTCCAGGATGTGCTTGGGGAGGGCAGCAGGACCTGCGGGCTCAGGGAGGTCCATCCTGCAAGTGAGAGGTAGAGGGGTGATGGGGAAACACCCTCCATCCCTCCCATAGGCAGAAACACCCCACCACTGCTCTGAGCACCCACTGCTCTCTGGGGAGACCCCTACAGCCACATCCAGCCTCAGCCCTGGGCTCTTTCAAGAGCAAAAGGCTCCTTGGAGGAGGGTTTACAGCGTGCTCCTGGGATTTGCAGCGTGCTCTGGTGCAGCTGGATAAAAGCCAGGGAAAACTTCCCTGTTAATTGTTACCGTTGTTAAAGGAGCTGATAAAGCAAAGCCACAAACCAGGCATCCCGCTGGTCACTCGCGGGTTGGGGGGGGAAGCGGCGGGAGCAGCGTGGCCGGAGCCCCCCCGCTCCGGGGGACCCCACCCCACATCCCCTCGTGCTGAGTCACGGAGTTAGTGGCTTCATTAGCAGCGGGGCTCGGGGATGAGGGGCCGGGGGTCACGACCGCGCTGAGCCCCCCCGTCCAGCCCGCATCCCCGCCAGGCTCCGGCACAGTGGGGCGGAAGAGGAGGAAGAGGAGAAGGAGGCAGCATCAGCACCGCCCGTCCTGCCCGTGCCCCCCTACCTGCGGCACTGCCCTGCTCCTGGTCCGGGTCCGGGTCCGCGTCCGGCTGCGGCGGGAGGCGGCGGCAGCGGCAGGATCCCCGCCGGGGGAAGAAGCCTCCGCTTGGCCCCGCCCGGCCCGGCCCGGCCCGGCCCGCGAGGGGCGGCAGGGGAAGGGGCCCGGCGGGAGAGGAGAGGAGAGGAGGGGAAGGGGAAGGAAGGGAGGGAGGGCGGATCTTCTGTCTGTGCCAGGATAAAGCCGGAGCACGCTCCAGCTCAGCATCCCCCAGCACGGGGCCCCAGCGGGAGGGACCCTCGGGAGGCAAACTCGAGGGTCTCTTGGAGGCACCGTGGGGACATCTCACAGCGTTACAAAGGGCTTTTCCCCTGCTCCATCCTTCTGCCTCACCAGCAGTGGGGCTCACACGCACCCACCTGCCTTAGCAAGAGGGAATGGTCAAACCATAGGGAGAGCCTCCATAAACCCCCACAGCAAGGTGCAGGCAGCGCCCCCCAGGGCTTCGGGGCAGCGTTCATTTAGAGACACAGGCAAAGAGGGCAGAGAGCATCTCTGGGAGACAACAGACATCCCGCTGGATGGGAATGGCGTTTCTGCTGCCCAGTGGAATATTCTGCTCCCCAAGTGATGCTGAAGGGCAGAACCAGCAGTAGCTATTCCTGGCTGGCCTGAGGATGCTCTGATTTTCCCGCTGAGATACAATCCTGGTGTTACCCGCAGTGGGACCCACACACTGCACCCTTCATCCTGCCTTTCTCAGGGAAACCTGATGGATTCCTGGTGGCAGAAACCATTACCCTGTGCCCTCAGACACCCCTGGCTTCTGGGCATGCAGCAACCGCAAACCCTGGGAGCAGCCTCTTCCGAACAGCACATCCCCCTCCAGCTGCTGCTGTCAGATAAAAAACATGTGGGGTATTATCATGAAGTGGCAGCGGATCCTTATGGGCAGGGGGTTCCTCTGGAGGTCATGGGCTGACATCAGGCACTGTGCAGGGTCAGGGTGGGGATAAGGAAGTGAAGCTGAAGCCCAGGCCATGCTCGATGCTTGGCAGCATGCTGAGGAGCAGAGTGGAGGCGGTTTGCAGCTGCAGGCTCTGCCCTGTGAACACAAAGCGCAGCATCCATACTCCTCACATCTACCTGCTGGTCCCACTACACGGGGATGTTTGGTTTTGTCGGGACCAGGAAAGTCAAGAGAAACCACCCCAGGAGTATGAGCAAGTTGGTGCCTTTTGTGTTCAGAGGGTGCCTTGTGGGCAGTGAAAGAAGCACAGCTGAGGCTCAGGGAATCGGGCAGCATACAGGAGAGCGTGTTACGACTATAGGATCCCAGAACCAACCAGGCTGGAAGATCAAGTCCAGTTCCCCAGCACTGCCGAGGCCACCACTAACCCATGGCACGGTGTATGAACACCTCCAGGGACGGTGACTGAACCCCCAGCTCCTGAACGGGTGAATCACCCCGTGCTGTCCGCCCTGGCCCCGCTCCCCCAGCACTGACCGCGCTCTGCGGACCCGCTTTAGGACCCATCGCACCCACGCCCGCGGTGCCCAGCAGGGCGCGCCGGGGTCGCGTGGGCGGGGCGGCGCGGTGACGTCTGGCGGTGACGTACGCGCGGCGGTGGCGGCGGGGCCCGCTCCGGTGCGAAGATGGCGTCGCTGCTGCAGTCGGAGCGGGTGCTGTACCTGGTGCGCGGCGAGAAGGAGCTGCGCGCCCCGCTATCGCAGCTGTACTTCTGCCGGTACTGCCGCCAGCTCCGCTCCCTAGAGTGCGTCTCGCACGAGGTAACGGCGGACCGGTCAGCGCCGCGCCGGGAGGCATGGGGCGGGACGAGGGAGGAACGTTGCGCTCTGTGCGCTCACCGATTGGGTGGCTCTCCTGCTGGTCACTCGCAGTTTGCTTTGCTATTGGTTGTTAGCGCGGGTGAGGGTACCTGTACGGCGGGGGTGATTAGCCGTGGAGGACTGAAGGGGCGGTGCCTTGTTTGGGATTGGTTCTGCGCGTCTGTCCGTCGGTGGAATACGGGCTGTGATTGGCTGAGAGGAAACTTCCCCTCACAAGACATGTGCCCCCCTGCCGGTGTAGGGCCCGGCTGGGTGGGAGCGGCCCCTTTATGGGGCCCTGCCGGGGCAGCGGGACCCCCTGTACCCTTCTGTGGGTCTCAGCCGGTGCAGCGGGACCCCCTTCCCCCCCCCCCCCCCCCACGTCCCCATCGAACACCCCCCGGTAGGGCAGGGGGGGCACCCACTACCTCGCACCCCGCTGTGGGGCGCGGCCTGAGGTGACGACCGGGCAGGGTCGGGAGCTTCCGCCACGGAGCCCCGCTCCCGGGTTCGGGCCTCCCGGAGGGAGCTGCTCTCGGCCGAGCCTCGGGGCTTGATGGATGTGGCTGCGTTCGCAGCGGTCTGACAAAGCCCATGCTCATGACAAAGCAGCGTGCTGAGGGCGGGAGCAGCGTGCTCGTTACGACAGCGGTGTCAGGCGTAAGAGTGGTGCGAGTTTATCAACATCAGGACGAGCTTGTGCCCCACAGCGGGATTTCTGCTGTGGAGGGTTATTTCTTCGGCCAGGAATGGCTGGAGCCTGCAGGTGATCATCAGGCTGGAGCAATGGTCTGGTGCATGGGGCACTGCTTTTGTGCAAGCCTCGAACCTAGGGCTGCTCCTGTGACTTCTCCCATCACGGTAATCAAATCCGTGCAGCGCACTCTGCAGAAGCCTGTGTGAATTAAGAAATTACAGTAGATCTGAAAAGCCTTGAGGGAATGACTCTGCAACCCGGATCTGAGGAGATCTCTCTTCAGAAATGATAAAGCCTCTGAGGAGTAGAAAATAGATTTGTCACCACGCTGCATCCGTCATGATTTTGCTATAGCGTGACCAGTGTAGTCACTGTGCATTGCCGTGTTTAATGATTGGTTTACTTTCCCCTTCAAGAAGGGGGCCCCCTTTTTGTTAGTGTTGTTTTAATTGACAGAATTAGTTTATGACAGCAGATACAAAGTGTTCTCCGAAATATGTGTGTATCTGACCAGTCTAACTACAAAGGTAGAATAAATGTAGATATAAAAGGAAAAAAGGCATGTTAAAATCTGTTGTTTCCTGTATGGAATTCTGGGCACTGCAGAGGTCAACAGCCAGTTGTCCTTTTCCCATTTACTAAGTGGAATAGTTTATTCAATCCTGACTTAAGGAACATTATTGAAGATTAAAATTTGGCTGAGACGGGTTAAGATTTCAAAAAGCGTCTCAAGTCCTTCCTGGCTTCCCCTGTCTGCTGGCAGACACAAAGCCCTATTAGATTGTGTGGCAGAGTTTCAGGCTGCTGCCAGCATGCTGCTGCCTAGACAAATGTGTGCCAGGAAGTGTGATGTGGCCCTCTCCTTTATCAGGTGGACTCTCACTACTGCCCCAGCTGCCTGGAAAACATGCCTTCAGCTGAAGCCAAGCTGAAAAAGAACAGGTAAGCTTGCTTTAGCTTTATTTTCATCAGGGCTTACTATTTGAAACAGTTCCTTCTCCTGTTCTCATAACACATTTTAGTATCATCCAATATTTTAGACTCATAGAATGGTTTGGGTTGGAAGGGTCCTTAAAGATTATCTACTCTGAACCATTCCTGTTCCTTTGGTGGCTCTGTTGCCCTAATGCTGTTGCATAAGATGAGAAGTCTGTTGATTTAATCTTGATTTGCTTGCTCAGAGCATTTTCCTGACCCTTGTCAGAGCACTGTCTAATAGACCTTCCTCCTTACAGGTGTGCTAACTGCTTTGACTGTCCCTGCTGCATGCACACCCTTTCCACCCGAGCCACCAGCATTCCTGCTCCACTCCCTGATGACCCGGCCAAGACTACCATGAAGAAAGCCTATTACTTGGCCTGTGGATTTTGCCGCTGGACTTCCCGGGATGTTGGCATGGCTGATAAGTCTGTCGGTAAGTGACAGTCAAAGCCATGTATTACATGATACGTGCAGTATCTGCCTAGGTTTTGAGTTACAGTTGGAAATTCACAGGAAAACAGTTTGTTGCTGAAGTCTCCTCTGAAGAGCTGAGTTAATGGAGCACATGACCCATTTCCACCCTTGTGCTACCTGACTAGTGAGAAAGTTGTCAAAAACGGGGCTTTTTAGTTGGTGCACTCTCTTTACAGCTGAGGTCTTGTTTATGTACCTGCAGAGTCTTTGAAGCCACTCAGTCTGACAGCATAAACATCTCATTTATTTTCCATCACTTTTGTCCTTTTAAGCTTATTCCAGAGTTGCCAATCAGTGTTTGTAGTTGTTTTTTCTTTCATGGCAGCACTGGAACAAGCTTTCATCTACTTCTTGGTGCATAAGACGTGCAGAAAATACCTGTCAGGCTCTAGAAACAGGGCTGAGTAGACCAGGCAGATCCTCTGACTTCCAGTGTTGATGTGACTGAAGATGCAGAGACATGGGCAGCCAGTAATAAGAGACCATTCTTGTTAACTCATGTTCCTGCTGCTAAAGTGACTCCTAGGTGCTGCTCTCCTGAGTATCTCTCAAACAGCAGTTATTTAAAAACACAGTATAAAAGCTGCTGAAGCTCCTTCAGCTCAAACCTGCCTGTAAAAAGCTTTAGGAGGTGTATATTTGTGCAGGTGTGAACTTACAGAATTGCAGTGGTAATTGTAACAAAATGGGGAATGTCATTTCATGAATAAAACTGAGGTAGTTGGGTCTTCGATGTGATTTCTGTGTGGAGTCTGGAAATCTCCTGAGGACCTTGTTTTCTCTCTTTCTCTTGCAGCTAGTGGTGGCTGGCAGGAGCCAGAGAATCCTCACACACAGAGGGTGAGTGAAGGGAAGGCTAAGATGCATCAACTAGAAAGAGCTGTTAGAGGTGCCACGCCACCTCAGTCACTTCTTCTGCATCTATCTTATCCTTCAGATACCAGTTCCTACTCTCAATTCAATAGAGGGAAGGCCTCTTAGAGGCTCTCTTGTGGATATTGCAGTATGCTTTGCAGAAGACATAATTTCTAATAGAAGACATAATTTCTAATAGTTGACATAATTTCTAATAGTTGAAAACATCAGATCTAATAGTGCTGTTAACACCAATGAATGTGAAAAAAGCTCTTTTCCAATCAAGAGTGTGTCTAGGATCTGGAAAACAGGACTGCACCTTTGTTACCCTTCCCTGTCACCAGTTAGGGCTCTGCACTAGGAGTGATCAGCCCATATGACATTGTTCCATCCACTCATGGCAAATGTGTGAATAAAGTCTCAGTTGCCTGACTTCACAGTGGGAATTGGACACTGCTCTCTGACAGATGCCACTTCCAAAGAAGGGTCTGTTTGTCACCCGCAGCATGGGTTAAGATTCGTTAGGACACACAGGCTTGTTTAATGTCTGTCTTTCAAAATAGAGCACTAGGAACAGAGCAAAACAAGTAGCAGGAACCCCAGCCCAGCTTTTTCACAAGCGAATACTGCAGCTCATCTGGCATTTGTTCCACTTCCACTGGGTTTCTTTTCTCTTTCATCCCTCCAGATTAACAAACTGGTTGAGTACTACCAGCAGTTGGCTCAGAAAGAAAAGATCGAGAGGGACCGGAAGAAGCTGGTGCGACGCCGAAACTACATGCCTCTGGCCTTTTCGGTGAGCAGGGAGCACTGTGCTCACAGAGCAGGACAAGTGATGCACAGCAGCCTCAGCGTGGAAAATTACATAGTTGGTAGCACAATAGGGCTGCTCAGTTCTTTGTAATTGAGAACAATGTGGAGAAAATGAGCTAGGGCACATGGGTATCTTTAGGGACAAGTAAGTTTACACCCATTATTTATTGTGTATTACACTGCCTCTCTCTCTAGTAGTCCTCTCTGATAATGCAGAAGGGTTTACACTTGCCATGTGAAGGAGTATGTTATCCAGCAGTGAAATGCAGTGCAGCCATTGACAATCCCAGTGGTAGCCCTTTCTCAGGACAGTTGCATACCATAGCTCAGTAACCATTAGCTCAGGATTGTCTGGCACTTCTCTGCATGAAGTCTCAACTGAAATTAACCTTAAGACTTGATTGTGGCTTGAATGACTTGTTTATTGTAACTTGCAGGTAACTGCTTACTTTGTTTAGCTGGGTGATTGCATATGCTTGCTACTTCTTAATTAACTGTGCTTGCTCTGTGCCCTTGCTTCTGTCTTATGGCTGCATTTTTTGTCTCCGTTGCTACCTGCTGCTATTTTGGGGGCTCTCCACAGCAACACACTATACACGTAGTGGTAAGTCTTTTCACGGTTTCTGCTGGTGTTAAAGCTCTCCTGGTACCTAGTGAAGGGGAGTGACAGATCCCACTCTTCACCCTGCCTCAGGGCCCCTGACCTGGATGTGCCTAGAACAAATATACACGAAGGCTGACTCATTAGAGAGTCACATTGGTTGCAAACCCAAATATCTATTGTTAGTTTACAAACAGGGAATTTGGGTAAGTAATGCACAGTTGAAGAGTAGTCAGTCACAAAGCTTGGCTGGGACACAGCTGTCTGCCTGCCTGAGGCAAATGGTACTCACATTAATTTTCTGATCTTTGAAAAAGCATGAGGGTAGGCTGATGCTTACACTTCTCATTTGGTGAGAATTCAGGTTTTCAGCCCTGCCCAAAAGGAAGATTTCTGCCTCCAAGCATTCTGCATACAGTTCAGCTGTAGAAACCGGAGCAGTAGCTCAACTATTCCTGCTGATTGGCAGTGCTTGCTGAGAGACACCTGTAGATAACAAGGCTTGTAGGAGGCTGAACCTTCCAGCTGCTTCTAGTAGTGCTACAGAGCATTTCAGATGGATTCATACCCATGTCGACCCTATTCTTTTGGCACTTGAGCTCTTATTCTGGACTACTTGACATGCAGTCTCTGTGAAGACTAGGTCAAGTGAAAATGTGTCAGTAGTGCAAGCTGGTGATTTAAGGAAAAAGTAAAAGCTCTGTAAGAGGTGGCCACACACATCTGTCTCTTCCCATCTTCAGTGCAGTGATAATTGTTTTCTCCTCACTTAACAGTTTGAGCAGGAAAAAAAAGTATCTTGGGAAGCATTGAATACCTTTCCCTTTTTGCTTTCCTTTGCTTGTCTCCCTATGCTTGTCATGCAGGATGAGTTTGCAGTAGGTCTTTTTGTGCTGGCAGGGAGCAGATTCAAAGCTGATAGTTCCTTTTTTCCTTGTAGGACAAATACGGCCTTGGAACCAGGCTGCAACGCCAGAGGCCCGGTGCACCCATCAGTGCCCTCGCTGGACTCTCGTGAGTCTCAGGGTTGGGGTTGGGTAGGGGGCATAGGGAGGAAGGAATAAAGCAAGTTCAGAAAGAAGGTAACACGTTAGCAGACAGCAGTGAAAAGAGCTCTCTTTGGAGCAGTAGAGCTGTCAAATCCTCTGTGCAGCAGCTCCAGATGGTTTACTTTCTCCTCAGAGAAACAAGTGACTGCTCACATCCTTGTGCAGTTACTGTTGTCTCACAGTCTCAGCTCTCACTGCCTTCTGTGTTACAGTGCTGTCAGAGCACACATGCTGTATTTTGTGACCAAGTTGTCCCTCACTTTATTTCAGCCTGAAAGAAGGAGAGGACCAGAAAGAGATCAAGATTGAGCCAGCTGATGCAGTGGAAGAAGTGGAACCTCTTCCTGAGGATTACTACACAAGACCAATCAATCTGACAGAAGGTAACACCTTATTATTCTGTCACCTTAATATTCTGCCATGTTGCATTATATAACACGAGCAGTGCTTGGAAACTTGCCCGTAGGGTTCCTAATGCTTGAAATTATAGTAGTTTTTATGCTGGGATAGAAATGGTGGGAAATTTGTGCCTTTTTAAATGGTAACTTTGAATGCAGCCTCAGCTTCATGCTGTGCGTGGAAATCTTGGAGCCAAATACGTCAGGTCTTTAAACAGTTGTTTCCTTTTGTTGCTGACCTTAATTTCTCTGCATGTGAAGTGTCAACTTTTGGATGGAGAAAAGAGCTGACATCCTTTTTCACGTAATAGCAGGAAATAAGGAGTAGCTGAGCTGCTGGGGAGCTGGAACCAAACCTGACCTGTTAAGTAACAATTGCGCATTGCTTTGACACAGCTAGGACCAGCTTGCGTACACTTGCCAGTTATTTAGCTCATGGTTGAGCTCAGTTGTTGGCTCATGATTTAATCAGCCAATACTGTAAATTGACCAGTGACACTTGGGAGTGAATGGGATAAAATAGCAGGTACAGGATGCAAAGTGGACTTCCTGCTGAGGTGGCTCTAAGTAAGACAGATGTTCTTGGTCGTCCTGCAGGCCAACAGAGTCCACCACTGTTAATTCATGAAAGGCTTATGGGAAGTGGTAGATCATCTTGGCCTCTTTCTCATAAGGCCATCAGCGTTGTGAGAGGCTGATGCTGGTAAAGAACACAACTTTCGTGATTCCCTACAGAGAGGAAAAGGCTGCCAGGTGGCTCACTGCCTCTTAGACACTGGAAACAGTGAGCAGCCTGTTTTGGGGGAGAAATCCACAGGAAATGTTGGCTGCTGGGAGTTCCTTGCCTTGGGAACTATGTAGTCACTAATTCTATGCCCAAGTCTGAGTTATGCAAACTCCTTGCTGAGGAGCTGTGTATTGTACTTATGCAGCACCCAGCCGTGAGGGTAACAAAGCAACAAAAACTCATTTGCCCTTGGCAGGGAAAGAACTTATTTTCCAGATGATTTCCAAATTCTGTTTCCACTCCAGCTGAGCTTTGAATAGAGATGAAGGTCCCTCATTTCTCCTGGACTGACACTGGTCCTGTGTTAATGTACCCTGTCAGAGCAGTCCTTTAGACAGCTCTTACCTTCCATCCGTTCACTGCTGGAAACAGTGATACTTTCCAATGGCTTCCGGATTATTTGGTGCAGGTGAAATTGAGTTTCTTAGGGATTGTAGCATGTCCACACAGTGTGTGCCACACTTGCTCTTAGGGCAACAACCTGTGTAGGTTCTAGCTCAGGTTTCAGTGCCTGAGACATTGATTTGCCTGGCTTTGTTGTGCATTCAGTGACGACCCTGCGCCAGCGCCTGCTGCAGCCTGACTTCCAGCCCATCTGCGCCTCCCAGCTCTACCCTCGTCACAAGCACCTCCTCATCAAACGCTCGCTGCGCTGTCGGGTGGGTAATTGAACACAAAGAAGTGCCTTTTTTCCTGGCTCACCCAACATGGCTTGTGCGAAATGTCTATTTCTTTTCAAAAGAAACTGCTCAGATGCTTCTGGTTGTTGAAAGCTCTCAATCAAATTCATGGTAACAGCACTAGGAGATGAGGGAGGTCGTCACGTCTCTGACGTGATGAAGATTGTGAAAGGGGGACAGCATTGTGCAAAGATGCATAAAGACACACAGTGGGTTTACACAAAGGTCTGTGTGCTCTGCCAGGGAATCATAGAGGGCTGCCAGTACACTCAGGATTAAAATATTTCTGCTATTATTAAAGACAAAAGTCAGTAAACAGCATTAGTGAGAGAGAGTGCAGAATACTGCAGATGTCCTTAGGGTGAAAGCAGAAAAGGGGTATTTCAGAGAATAAAACCAGAGAGCTGGGAAGTGAAGACAGGCAAGAATTAAATTCAAGTTCTGCTGTTGGCTTACTACATGATCTTTAAAGAGCTGCTTGCATTCTTAGTGGTTTCACTGGATTTATCTAGTTCCCAGAGTAACAGAGCAACCTTCTTGTAAGTATTTAAGATGCAGAATGCTTTGCGAATGCAGAATATTTTCTCAGAAGTGAGTCATTTCAGGCTGAGCCTGTATATCAGTGAGTACTTTATGAGGAAATCAGTCTTGAGTTCTAACTCTTTGATCTTTTTTAATGCATTCCGGAGCATGTATCAAAGGGCTTACAAGACTTGTGCATTCCTCCTGCAGTCAGTGAGCATCCAGGTGTTTTTAAGCCGAATCCCATGTTTCTGACATTGCACAGATAGTGATGGGTATGACATTTTTGGAGCATCTATAACTTGACACAGCGATGGCTATATGTGCCCCAAGGTAGTTTTTATGTGTGTTGTGTTAGAGGCTGGGTAATATCCTGGCTGGTGGCAGTGTGTTTGCAGCTCTCATTCTTCAGTGCGTAACTGCTCACTGTCTTCTGGTGATGACTAAAATCTCTTTGTCTCTGTAGAGTTGTGAACATAACCTGAGCAAACCAGAATTCAATCCAACATCTATCAAATTCAAGATCCAGCTGGTTGCTGTGTAAGTAAGATACAGGGACTGGGGAGAACAACTGCCTATCTCTGCTTAGTTAATGCCTTCTAGTTTCATTTTCATTTCATGTGCTCCTGAATTGACCTCTGCGTGGTTGTGTCTCCTCTTACGGTGGTATAATCACCTTTTAAAATACATTTAGATTATCTGTAATAGGTTTGCTTCCTGATCTGCTAAAGAAAAGAGATTGCATGCTGTGCCAGCGCCAGACAGCAGCAGGAATTTGTAGGATTTGGCTTATATAGCAAAAGGGCACTTCATTTTAGTTTTTAATATCAGCTAAGCTCTAACAGCATTGAATGAGTGAGATGGATGCATGTGAATACATCCCTCTAGTTTGAGAAGTTATAGACAGCAACAGAGTCCATCACGGTCATTTGTTTTGTTCTTTTTGTAGTAACTATATCCCTGAAGTGAGAATCATGTCTATTCCCAACCTGCGCTACATGAAGGTCAGTAGTTTTTCCATAAATCTTTTAGCTGGGAGGTGTGGATGTGGGATCTGTTTGGAAGATGACACGGTGTGACGGCTCTTCCCTGAGGGCTTCATTCGCTCCATTTAGAGAGTGAGCAGGGTTGAAGGGACTGGTCAGGATAATGCTGCTTGTACTTATCACTGCAGTAGATCACTGCGCAGTGTGACGTCTGGCATCACAGGCACACGTCAGTATCTGGAGAATAAAAAGTGTGGATTTGAAACCTTGGCTACATTTCAAGGATGTGTATTTCTTACATTAAGAAAGAGTGCTGTTTGGCATTGGCACCTCTCTTACAGACTGGAGGTGTTTGCTATCCATCCCTTGAGTGTATGTGATTTTTGAAGGTGTTGATCAGTCACAGAAGATGGAGGTGCTAACAGTGACTATGAACTTTAGAATATTTGCTTCTTGAACTGTGATTCCTGAATCTCCCCAGGAGAGCCAAGTCCTCCTGACTCTGACTAATCCAGTGGAGAACGTCACACATGTCACGCTGCTGGAGTGCGAGGAGGGGGACCCTGACAACATCAACAGCACTGCCAAGGTATTGTACCCTCCTGCTGTGGGAGCCCAAGGCTTACACTCCCATTTATTCTTCCCCTGATCACACTTTTCATAGGGCCTTCAGTCCCTGCTGGACTGTGTTGCATTTTCCTCCTTGGAGTTTGAATGATTGTCACCAATCATTAGCTCATAAAAGTAGTTTGAAACTGCCTGCTCATTGAGATCAGTACCTGAGGGAGAAAGGCAGGATTTCACTGGTAGAGTGATAACCTCTGGAGCAGAGGAGAGCTGAGGAAGAGCCAGTTTTCTGTTAAACTGTGGTAAAGAAGCCCTTGGAAGGGGAGGGCTCTCTCCTGCTCACACTGTAGGTGGTGCTCAGAGCTGAAAAGCTTCTCTTCATGTTCTGATGCAGGTGGCAGTTCCTCCCAAGGAGCTTATTCTGGCTGGCAAAGATGCTGCAGCAGAATATGATGAGCTGGCAGAGCCTCAAGACTTCCAGGATGACCCTGAGTGAGTGTTGTTTGTCCTGTGGGAATCCTGTTCCATAAAACTTGGTACTTAAACCAAGTAACTCACTCCCTGTGTCTTCAGCATGTTTTGTTTGGGTTTTTTTCCAGGTTTTTTGTGCTGGTGGTGTTTTTGGGGAGGGTTCAGAGATGTGGTGTGGACTATTTAGGAGACATTTGTTCCCTTTGAGGCAAAGTGTGCTGTTAGAGCACTTGTTATTGGTGGTGGCACTAATTCTCTCCTGGAATACTGTGTCTAATCCTCTTCCTTGCAAGCAGGGGGTTTCACTGTAATAGTGAGAACTACGCAGTAGGGTGTGAGACAGTTGCCTTCAGCCTCCAAAATGGAATGTGTTCTGCAGCCTCTTACAAAGCAACTTGAGCTGTATGCCATGGCTCTTCCCTGGGGCAGAGCCACACCCGGAACTCCCAGAGCCAAAGCCGGGTGTTCTGTTCGACACATGTCAGCAGAAAGGCAGATACTGATGTTTGTGGGGCAGGAGGAGGCTGTGGAGTTAAGAAGCTAGAACCCAGGGCAGCTGTGTTAACAGGGCATATTCAGCCATAAACTAAGCACCTCTCTTATATGTTGTCAGAATAAATCTCCCAGAACAATTGTGTGAGACCTTGGCTGACCCAGCCTTCCATTGTGTTCTGCCTTGCAGTGTCATTGCCTTCAGAAAAGCCAACAAGGTCGGAGTTTTCATCAAGGTCACCCCACAGAAAGAAGAGGGTGAAGTGATTGTGAGTTTCAAGATGAAGCACGAGTTTAAAAACCTCGCTGCTCCCATCCGGCCCAGTGAGGAAGGTGATCACAGCTCTGAGGTCATCTGGCTCACCCACCACGTGGAGCTCAGCCTCGGACCGGTGCTCCCATAGGCGCTGCCACTGCCGCTCCCTGCTGGCTGCAGGACGGGATCTTGCATCACGGTGAAGAGAGCACCGGGTGGAACATCCTGCGAGAGCTCCCTTGTGATGTGTGGTGTGTGCCACGGGCCCCACCAGGCTGCGAGGAGGTGGCTGAGGGTGCCGTGGTTTGGGATGGTTTGTTCTTTCTCTTCTTGTCCTAGTGCCCACTAACTACTTCTCTGCTTCCCCACGCCGCCACAGGCTAGTTTAACTTGCAGCACGTGTTTCAGCACAGAGAAGGATCTTGCTTTCTCCAGATCTGCGCTACACCTGGCTGAATTAGGGTTTATTGACAGAAAAGAACCCATATTTCTGTTTTTCTTCATGTCAGCCCACAAGCCCAATGTACAATAGTAAACAACTTCCTTTTCACACAGTTATGCCCTTCCAAAACAAATGTTTTAAGAGGTGGCCGTGTCTGCTGCATTACTGGTGAGTTACTGGCAGCAGCACGAGGCTTTTGGTTTTCTCCTTCCTCATAGGATACCTCAGCTGTGGAGGACTGGGACATACCACCCAACCTCTCTGGTGTATGTAGCTTGCTTAGCCGAGGTGATAGATGCCTTTTCACAAAGGAAATGATCAGTTTGCCTTTAAACCCCAAATAGCGTGTACTGTAGAGTCCATGGATCTGACTGGTAACTGAGCCTGCTGCCAGCTCACCGTGCTGCAGGTAGATGTGGCAGCACGATGTGCTGCGAGCTGGGAATTTGGGTTCTGCTGCAGCTCCAGGCTGAGGCTAGGATGCTCCAGAGAAAACAAGTGTTAACAAGGGTAGCAATCAGAGTGTGAAACCTGGGCTGTTAAGGTTGGATCTGATGTACAGGGAACTACAGGGGCTGTTGGCTCTTCTTCCAGTTAGGGTGTGTGGGAGGGAGGTGTAACAGACAGTTCCACGTTAACCAACAGACACTGTACCGTCAGGTAATTTATCCAGGCTGCCGTTTGGCTGTGGTCCCAGCTCAAATCAGTAATTAAGAGCAGAGTATCCAGGACACAGAATTACCAGTAGCTGCATAGCTTGGTGCAAGCGTGATCACTCTCCCTGCAGAGCATTCCCAATTCCAACACACACCCTCTTAAACCTTCCTGATGGGCTTTGATGTGCTGGAGCAGGCTTGAATGCTGCTGGCCTGGAGCTGCAGATCCTCTGCACGGCATGGCAGGGTGAAGCTTCCAGCTTTAGTTTTGGGGTGGTGCTGCACCCCAGAAAACATCTCCCTTCGCACCAGAAGCCTGCCGCGGCACACCGGGGCCTCACGTTTACAACCTCGCGTAGGATACGCACAGATGTACAGCATGAGTTGAACACTTGTAGTAGGTAGTTAATGTCTAATGCTAGCGCCTGCTGTGGCTTCACCCATCCAGATACAGCACTTCCCTTTTGGCCACCACTCCTCTGCAATAGCCACTACGTTTGGGACACGATGCAGGGCTGTGCTGGTGCTTGCAGGCAGAGAACACTAACACGAGGTGCGATGTCTGTGCTGTTCCGTGAGCTCCGTGAGTTGTTCTCTCCCTTCCCTTAGGACTTTATAGGTGTCGGCGTGTCCCTGCTCCCCGGAGCATTCACCCCTTCCCCATAGGCGCCTGTTGCCTTACTGCTTGACGTCGTGTAGTGACCTTCAATAAAGCAAACGTGGCTCTCGGATCCTTTGCGCTGGTTTTTACATGGATTTAATACTAAAAAATATTTATTAAATAAATACGGGTTATTAAGGCTAAGCGCCCCCCACCCCCCTTTCCCAATGGTCTCATCCCGTCCTGCCCCCCCCCCCTCTAATCCCGATGGTTTCGCCCGCCGCGCCCTTTTCGCTCAGCTCTCTGATTGGTAGATCTCTAGCGGAAGTGGCGTCAGTTCCGCCCGGCGCGGGGGGAGGCGGAGCGCGGGCCCGCTGAGGCAGCGCCGCCGCCATGTCCACATCGCTGGGCTCCAACACCTATAACCGGCAGAACTGGGAGGACGCGGTGAGCCCCGGGGTCTTCCGCTGCCGGGGAGGGGGAGGCTGGCGCCGCTACCAGGCCCTCCCATGGCTGGGAAAGCGGACGTGCTGCCCACACCGCTGTCTGGGCCCTGGCGGGGTTTGGGGTGTCCGGTATCTGGGGAGGGCCGGGCTGGGCCCGTCCTGCGCCTGTGGGGCGTTGTATGGAGATGGGGCCTTTCCTGGGTGGGCCCGGTGCAAACAATGGGCACGGGGGTGGTGACATTCGCTGCGGGCAGGGCTGGAGAGTTGAGATCGCTGGGATGTGCTTTTTCGGTCTTTGTCTTATGTTTTACTTCGAACCAGAATAGCCCATGAGTCGTGGTTCTGTCATTATATGGGCCCTTGGGTCGTGGCTTGCAGCTCTTCCGATGGTCTCATTAGTTTTAACTCCGCAGCAGTGTTTGCAAAGTGTGTTTTGAATGCTGTTGTGATTATAGACTTTGCTGCAAAATCCTGATTTTTCTTTCTTTTTTGCTCAATTTAGGACTTCCCTATTCTGTGCCAGACATGTCTTGGAGAAAACCCATATATTCGAATGGTATGTGCCTGTTTGACCTCCTTTTTTGTGTTACGGCCCTGGAACTTCTGGGGTCTGGGGACTAAAATAAGACTGGCTACAGGAGGAGATGCTGAAGTTGCTGTGCATTTGTCATTAATTGGTTTTGCTCAACAGGATTTGGTTCCAGCAATGTTGGTGTGCAGTTTAAGAGTAAATCAGTCAAAAAAGGAGAGCAAGATGATACAATCCATTGTCTGGAGTGCAGGAAATACTAGAACACAAAGCTCTGGTAAATGGTGTGTTGTGGAGAACTATGAGCTGCTGACATAGTAAATAGCTGAGCACAGCTTCTAAAACCTGTAGAAGCTGAAGAAGAATATGCACCTGTAAAAAGAAAGTAAAATTCTTTTATGAAGGCTCCCAGCAGTGGTTTAAATCCCTGTTTGTTTTCCTTGATTTCCCCCATGCAGGATGAGTCAGTCCATTTGTGTTGCTTTTCTCTGTGCTCAGTTTAGTTGTGTTTGACCTATGTTCATATGATCTTTCCTGATCATTTGCTGAGAGATGCTATGATGTTTGCTGAGAGAGATGATGATGTTTTTGTGAGGCACAACCCTACTGCTGGTATAGGTGATCTGGTAAAGCCTGCTTCTTTTCTTGGCCTTATTTCCTGTAACATCATCTTCGCTTAAAAATAGCTGCTGAAGTTCTGTTTCATTCTCACCTTTCAGTAATGCTTTGAGGTGAGACTTACTGTGCTGTGCTTTTCACAGAATAGTTAGAATTGGAAAGGACCTTAAGATCATCAAGTTCAAACCCGCTGCTGTGGGCAGGGACACTTCGCACTAAACACATGTCACCCACGGCTCTGTCCCACCTGGCCTTGGACACTGCCAAGGATGGAGCATTCACAACTTCCTTGGGGAGCCCATTCCAGTGCCTCACCACCCTTACAGTAAAGAACTTCTTCCTTATATCCAATCTGAACTTCCCCTGTTTAAGTTTTAACCCCGTTACCCCTTGTCCTACCACTACAGTCCCTAATGAAGAGTCCCTTTCCAGCATCTTTGTAGACCCCCTTCAGATACTGGAAGGCTGCTATGAGGTCTCCACGTAGCCTTCTCTTCTCCAGGCTGAACAGCCCCAACTTTCTCAGCCTGTCTTCATACAGGAGGTGCTCCAGTCCCCTGATCATCCTCGTGGCTCTCCTCTGGACTTGCTCCAACAATTCCATGTCCTTTTTATGTTGAGGACACCAGAACTGCACACAATACTCCAAGTGAGATCTCATGAGAGCAGAGTAGAGAGGCAGGATCACCTCATTTGACCTAATGGCCATACAGTTGGCTTTCTGATTTTACATTTAATGAATTAATTAATGAATGAGTCTAAATAAAAAATTGATTGAGAGTTTTTTACCTCTGTATTTTTTGGTCCTGTTTTCCTGCCAAGGTGGAAGCCCAAAACATGGGGGTCAGTGAGTCAAAATGCAGCATGAGGGAAAAATCCCTGTGCTGTAACCTCAGTGATGTGTTTCATGGTTTATGTCAAATTGGTGACATTTCATTTTTTTCTGTTTTTGGTTGTATTTCAGACCAAAGAAAAATATGGAAAAGAATGCAAGGTATGTTTGTTGTCTTTGGAAGAAAGGGTGTCAAAACTGGCACACATCTTGGAATAATACATTTTGATGTTAAGAAAACCATTGGCTTATCTGGGTTAACAACTTAGAGCGTTTCTGTAACTACATAAATCTTGAGGTCAGTCTATGGGTTCTTTGTTAGCCTTAAAATAGCAAAATTATGAAAGAGTGCTCAGACAGACTTAGAATTGATTCATGTTAATCAGAATTAGGTATTACAAATATTGTTATACTAGATTTGAAGGTATTTCAGTGGTTTAGATGATCTCACGTTTTCTCCTGAAGTTTGTTTTCACTCATGAGTGGAGCATAAATAACTGGAGTTTAGGTTTTGCTGTGAATGTGTTGTTCATGGCTATGTGGTGATTGTGTTAGCTGTCTAAGACATAAGCCATGAGTATTTCTGAGAGAGCAAGAAACATTTGGTGTTATTTTGCCTGAGAGAAATTAAAGGAGTGTTTTGCTCCTTCTATCAGCTGTCATCTGTGGCAGGGAGAAGGTATGTGTTGGAATCCTGCTTTCCTTCCAAAAAGTCTACTTGCAGTGGAAGCAAATGCATAATTCCACCAGATAAGATAGAGAGCAGTAATTGTCTTGTGGACCAGGAGCCTCATAACTTCTCATTGGGCTTGCTGTTGAGCTGGTGACTGATTTATCTCTCATAGATAACTGGTGATCTATCTCTAATAGCTCGATACTGACCTCACCTGGAATGGAGGGGAATTTCTTCTCCTTTTGAGTCTACCTGCTTTTAGTATTCAGGTTATTGTAATGAATCAAAAAACATCAGGACAGAAAACCTTCCTAAACCTTTCTCCTGTCCAAGTAAGGCACCAAATACAAACAAATATTTAAGGTCTGAATCTGTGATAGTGATACAAGTGTTGACTTTCTGTTGTTAGATTTGTGCCAGGCCTTTCACAGTGTTCCGCTGGTGCCCTGGTGTTCGCATGCGCTTCAAGAAGACAGAAGTGTGCCAAACGTGCAGCAAGCTGAAGAACGTCTGTCAAACCTGTCTGCTTGACCTGGAATATGGTGTGTACCAAAAATGTGAACGAAGAGAAGGAGCTGCTTGCTCCTCTTGCCTCTGAACTAACAGAAGGAGCTGCTTGCCTCTGAAATGAATGCTGGTGCAATGTCTCACTGTGTGCATGTCTCTGGACAGTCTTTGAGAAGAGCAAGTCTTGATGGTTACATCTCTGCTGAGGCTCAGGGGCAGCATGGTCTGCTTGAGCTGTTACATGAGTTATCTCTGGCGTGTGCATGTTGCAGTAACTATTTCTGCTCTTTCAGCTTGTGCTTCATAAGGATTTATTTTTGTTTGGTTTGTTTCATTCCAGGTTTGCCTATTCAAGTGCGGGATGCAGGACTGTCCCTTAAAGATGAAATGCCTAAATCTGATGTCAATAAAGAATACTACACCCAGAACATGGAACGAGAGGTAAGAGAGTGTAGTTTTAGTCATACTTTTTCTGTGTTGATGTATATAAGAGAGGAATGACCTAGCTTATCTTAAAGTCATTTGCTTAGTCTTATTCTGTGCATGAGTTTTCAATGGTGTTTTATACATAATTATTTGTATTTGAACTACTGTTTAGATATCCAATTCTGATGGCACTAGGCCAGTTGGTGCACTGGGAAAAGCTACATCTACCAGTGACATGCTGCTGAAGCTGGCTCGGACCACTCCTTATTACAAACGTAACCGTCCTCACATCTGTTCCTTCTGGGTAAAAGGAGAGTGCAAGAGAGGAGAAGAGTGTCCCTACAGGTACAAAGACATCTTAAACACTTAATTTGTTAATCACTGTCAGATACAGCTCCCCTTGGGGTAGAAGAACAGGGAGTGCTGCAGACATAACACTCTAATTGGGGTCAGTGTGAAACTTGGGTTCAGTTGGGCCGTAGCACCGGTGGATGAATCTTTGTTGTGGCAAGTTGGTTTTTTAGGAATCAGCTGTGTGATCTTGCAGTGCTTTGCTGAAGCAGCGACTGCAGCTCTGCTCTTGCATAGTTCATTTTTTCCCTTTGTGGTGTCAGTCCCCTCAATCAGAGATCTTTGTCTTTGAACAAGAGGCCATTTGAAATCCAGCTGTTATATTGTGTAGTGTTGAGCACTGAGCTGTCAGAAGTGCCATTCATTCACAACTTGAGGCAGTCCTGGCTCTGTTTAAGCTCTTGTGGCTTTTTGTTCATTTTGGCGTGTTTGTGTGAACGGGGTTAACATGTAAGTGACCAGAGGGAAGAGGGCAGTTACAGTAATTTTAATGTGATGCGACTGTGAGTGACGTTTGTTTGCTGAACCTTAGACATGAGAAACCTACAGATCCAGACGATCCTCTGGCTGATCAGAACATCAAAGATCGTTACTATGGAATTAATGATCCCGTGGCTGATAAACTCCTGAAGCGAGCATCCACCATGCCTCGTCTGGACCCCCCTGATGACAAGACTATCACTACACTGTATGTTGGAGGGCTTGGAGATACCATCACTGAATCAGATCTCAGGTGCGTTGGTGAATTTGTATTGCCCTTGATTTGGTATTTGAAGCTTTGATTACTGCTCATCTCCAAGTGAGAAAATCTCTTGGAAGGGGAAAAAGTCAATCTGGTTTTCAGTTTTCCTTAATGGGGAAGTGCAGAGGAGTGCCAGCTTAGTGGGGAACAGTAAACAGGCACATTTCAAATGCTTTGATTAAAATTTCTCTCTATAAAGATGAGTCATCCTGAGCTGTTGGGGATATTGTGCTACACTTGGTACAAGAAAGTCCCATAGCCTCTCTAGCTCCTGAGAAAAGCTGCTGCAGAGTTTTTATTGCTCCATAATTTTATAGAGGGATAAGAGGCTTGATTTCTAATGGTTACTCTGAACTAGTGATGGAGAAAAAAAAGGATTTGAGCATAAACTATTTTGGCACATGATGAGATATACAGTGCTATGTGCCCTGTGGCTGGAAGGAGTGAGGTTTCTTAACACTCATTTTTCTCCACACAGAAATCACTTCTACCAGTTTGGGGAGATCCGAACGATCACGGTGGTGCAGAGGCAGCAATGTGCCTTCATCCAGTTCGCCACCCGCCAAGCAGCAGAAGTGGCTGCTGAGAAATCCTTCAACAAGCTCATCGTGAATGGCCGCAGGCTCAATGTCAAATGGGGAAGGTGAGTGAGGGCGAGGAAACCTTGAGGATTTTGCCACAAGGTTCTTCACTCAGTTATGCAGCCTTGAAGAACAAGTTGGGTGTTACCCTGGAGTAAGTACTGATCTGTAAATAGTCAGGGTACTCTTAGAGTTCCTTTTTCTTTTAACAGTGGGATCTGGGTTGGAGATGACACAAATTGTGTAAGGGATTTCCTGGTAGAAGGTTATGGATGAGTTTCTGTAGTTTTGTTTCTCATCGTCTCCTTTAAGGACTGTTTGCACGCTCTGTACCAGGTGTCTCTGATGGGCTGTGAATTTTTCATCTTTGGCCTAAAGCAATGGGTCTGGATTAGATAATGTGAAACTATTGTGGTGTGAATATCTGCTTATCTTGCTTTTTCTCATCCTTGTTCTCAAACATTCCTCTGGTTTTTAGGTCCCAGGCAGCAAGAGGAAAAGATAAGGACAAGGAAGGTACTACAGAATCCGGGATAAAGCTGGAGCCAGTTCCAGGACTCCCTGGAGGTAAAGGAGTGTTTACATCTCTGAAATGCTTATGCTGACCTGAGAGAGGCTGGAGCTAAACCTCAGAGAGCAGTAGCAGAGTTCATGGCAGTAGAGGCACTGGTGAGCCCAGAGCAGTTACCTACAGTAGGTTTGCAGCAGATCCAGCTGGGATTGAGAGGTGAGCTTTGTCTAGAAGTAAATTCTTGATGAAAAGATTTCTTTGTGATGAGTGAAAAGATAAAGCTGAATTCAAGTTATTTAGGTCTGAGGTACTGGCAACCCACGCATGGTTAATGCCTTTCTTATCCACTGAGTGTCATATGATGGAAAAAGCAAAGCTCGTTTTGGGTGAAGGAAAATGGTGACTGTTTGGAGTCTCAGTGCAGTCCTTACTGCTCTGGTTCATACGTGCAATTGTAGTATCACTTTGTCCTTGTGGAAGAGCTGCTTGTGCCTCTCTCTCTCTCTGAAGGCACACGCCTCTGCATATCTTGATTGAGAGATTTTCCATAACCACCGTGTACTTTTTGTGCAGCTCTCCCTCCTCCTCCAGCTGCAGAAGAGGAGGCTTCTGCAAATTACTTCAACCTACCTCCAAGTGGCCCTCCAGCCGTGGTTAACATTGCCTTGCCTCCTCCTCCTGGCATTGCTCCACCACCACCTCCAGGTACTTATGTTTCCCCTTCAAGTGGGGGTTAGATGATCAAGTCCTCCTTGTTCTGCTGTTGTCTCGCACTGATGCATGCCCTGAGTTGAGTTTCCTCATCCCTGATCATGCAGTGTAAACTGATGACCTAAAATGAGCTGTCAGCACAGTTTAATTAAACTGAGCTGCCTGTCATGGTATGTATTCACTTGCAAATTCTCAGGCATGTCAGAGATCCCTGTTCCTGGTACTGAGACCTCCTCAGTGCTTTTGCTGGCTGTGTAAATGCCGCATTAACTTAACCTTCAAAGGGTAATTTTGCAACTGGTTGAATGCCAGCCTGTGTTTAGCTGTGTGTATGTATCTATCTGGAGACCCTTTTGTTTTGTGAGACATCAGACTCTTGTGGATGTATTTGGTTTACTCTATGCTTCAGTAGAAAGCATTCGATTGGTATTACAGACATCTGTCCAGTCCTCCCACCAGCTTTTATCTGTGAGGAAGGATGTGTGTTGGGTGAGGATTGCCCCCAGTTGTACTGGATAGAGGGGAAGGAGTTTGGGGATTTGAGGAGTCACAGGAGAAATGTATGTTTCTAAGGCACAGCTGTAAGCCAGCTGTTTTCTGGTGACACTTTCAAGCAGTGGTACATGTGTTCCCTGTTCTCTTTGTCTGAAGCTGCCAACTTTGTTTCCACAGGTTTCGGTCCACACATGTTCCACGCCATGGGGCCACCGCCTCCCTTCATGCGAGCCCCAGGCCCCATTCACTACCCATCTCAAGATCCCCAGAGGATGGGTGCCCATGCAGGGAAGCACAGCAGCCCCTAGCACCTCCTGCCACCCTCATCCTTGAAGTAAATGTTATTTTCTAGTTACCATGATAGCACCATATGTCGAGCTGTGGGTGAGCTAGAGCAGCCTTATTTCCCTACTTGCAGATGCTGGGCAGGCTGAGCTCCGTGTGTCTGCTAGCTAATCAGATTGTGGATACATCCCAGATCTTTCATGTAGTGTTGAGGGGTGGGGGGGTTTAGGGGGAGAAGGGGCAGACAGAAGGGCTGTCAGGGATCTGTGGATCAGGTGTCCCAGAATGACTGTGCTCTCGTGTATCCCGTTTGCACACTTTTAAATAAACTTCTGGAAGAAACAAAACCAAACCCTTTTGAAGCTCATCTGATGTCCTCAGTCTGAACACCATGGACTGTGTAAAGGTAACCAGAGACTTCTCTGTCAGGTAACTAATGACTTATTATTCTAATGAGGTATTAAAGACCAAATAAGAGCCAGAAAACAAGCATATTGGATGTGCCAAACCCATGGGATTTGCCTTACTATTGCCACAGAATTTCCCCCCTTCTTTTTTTTTTGACTTCTGGCTTAAAAAAAAACCAAACCAACCCCTTTTTCATGCTTCATTTCTAATCCTGCACATCATGAGCAATATGAGATTAGGTCATGCGAGCAGCCTCTGGGTGGTGCATCTGTATGTCAGCTGTGTTCATGCAGTGGATCTGTGGACATCTTTCTGTACAGCAACACATGACGGGACCTGTTCTGAAGCTTCATTTGCTTGGTTTTTTAAAAAAATACATTAAAATGCTTGAATTTTTCAATCTTTTGCTTAGACCCTGCTTGGTGGAGACAGTGTCTGAGGACTTGGGAGTTTTATTTGGCTGCTGCCAAAGCCAGGGTGGAGAGTGGGCAATGACAGTAGGTGTTACCTGCTGCCCTGAGTGATGCCACTGGTGCTGCCAGGCTCTGGGAGTTGGTACCAGGGCCATAGTTGGCTTCCTCTGGAGAAAAAGCTGGGCTCTGGGCCCAGGTTACTGGTTTAGTTTCTGTGAAACCCCTTCCAGGGCAGTGTTGGAGGCCAGGCAGAAGCCTGCTGGTGCATGAGGAAGGGCTGCAGCCTTTGTCACTGCTCTGGCCCCAATTTGCCTTCGGAGCTGTGAGCGCTGAGCAGGCAGATCTGGAATGCAAACAGGCTTTACGTTGTCACAATTCATTTATTACTTCCAGCCAGGTCCCCAGGGGTACACAGGTTCTACAGCTAATGGACAAATTGGAGAGAGGGCTTTGGAACAGCCCTTGATCATCACAAAATTTTAATGTTTTAAGGAAAGGACTTTTTTGCTTTCCAGTTGCATTTCCCATTTCCCTTCAGTTAAAGTTTCCTCCCTGAATGGTGTGTTGTGGCAGCAGACTCCCTGTGTGGGATCTCCACAGCACCACACATACACCTGAGGCAGCTGTTAGCTGCTTTTTTACCAGCAAATTTATTTGCCCAATTCAACCATGGTGGTGGAAGAAAAACCATTTATGCTGATGTTCCTGCTTTTGGAAGATAAAATAAAGGTAAGAACCTGATGGAAGCATTTGAAGTTAGATTCTTGTTAGCAATGAGCAGGGTTTTCCAGATGTTTCAGTGACTGTCCTGGAGCCTGTTGGTAGCTGTGTGTCCCACTGTGTGTCACTGCTGATGCTCACATTCAGAGGGAAGGCTGTGCTTGCTCTGGAGTTGTGGCTGTGCTCATTTTCCCTCCTGCTGATGCAGAAGTTACCGAAATACCCTGGCAGTGCCTTCGGACTGGTGCAGTTCTGCAGTGCAGTGATTCCAGGCAGGGCCTGATCCTTACTGACTGGATTGGAAGCAAATCTGGCATAAGTCAATCAAAGAGTTGAGATGTTTAAGCAAGGCATGCAGATAGCAGTGAGAAGGGGAAAATATCAGCTGCCAAGTGCCAGCCAGAAGCTTATGGAAAAAGGGGCACAAGTTTCCAGCGTGTTTCTCTCCCATATACCCTGGTTGTGCTGTGCTGGTGAACAGGCAGATTTCCAGTTCTGCATTTGTTTTTGTTGTCTAGCCAAGCCCTGGGTAACAGCTTTTAACATGCCAATGCTTCTGGTGACTTGTTTTGCTGCTGCTCTTCAATTATCACCTCCTCTTGCTGTCCTGACCGGAATGACAGATGTAGAGTTGTCCTGAAGATGGAATTTCTCCATCTGTTAGAGCAGGTTTTGTGTGTCGGTGCAGCAGCAGTGGGACACCTTGGTGTGCTGCAGCCAGTGCTCCTGCCATTTTCCATGAGGACAGGCTGAACAGGACGTTTTACATGGAATTGTGTTAATGGCGAGAGCTTGGCTGCCCTCGTGTCGGTGGCAGGTACAAGGGGGGTTCAAAATGGTCCTGGCCTTGAACTTGTTCAAATCCTGCTGAAGAAGGCAACAACCAGAGACCACCAGCTTGGCTTTCATGGAGAACACTTAACTCCTCTCTCCCCTACAGTGCGAAGTGTGCTTGAGTCTAGCAAGAGAAGCATCCATGGTGATGGGGAAGGGAGCACGTGTGCTACAGCTCGTCGCTCTCCGGTAGAATCCGCACCCAGCCTTGCGGCACCCTGTTGAAGTTACGCCTGTTGTCAATCACCTCCAGAGTGCTCAGGTTGTCCAGCTCCGTGGCAGGCACAAAGAACAGGTCACTGAGCTGTGTTCTGTCAAACGGGGCAGGAGTCCTGCAGCAGAGAAGCAGCAGATTTAGCATGTTACAAGGAGGGATTGTGAGTAGTAAAGGTGAGAGAAAAAGCAGGTCTGGATTTAGTAACTGAGCCCAGCAGTAGTCTATCAAGGCCTGTAGAAAGTGATAACCCTTCTCTTTGTCCCCAGGATGCCATTAGAGCCTCTGCCAGCCCAGGGAGATGGCTTCTCTTGTACAGAGCCAACCTCAGCTCAAGCTTTAGCAAGCCAGAGTGGGGTTTGGTGCCTGAGTGGCTGTGGAATGGGAGGGAGGAAGCGTGTTGTTACCTTCACTGTAGTCTCTTTTGATGGGCTTCACCGCCAGCAGTAGAGATGAGCTGTGTGTGAAAGGGGTTAGATGAAGAGAGCAAGTGATGGTAACAAACCCTCTGGCCTTCAGGAAGTGACTTATCCACAGCTAAAGTGTTCTGCAGAGGGCTGAGGCCGATAGTGCTGCCTCCTGATGGCTCTAGCATGTGTGCAGGCAACTGCCTCTCTCTTGGCCTTGGCTCTAGGTAGCCTTTTGGGACAGCTTCTCTTCAACAATGACTAACAGGAGGAGCAGTGCGGGGGCAAGAGCTGTCATCCCTTTTTGGAGAAATGTGGAAAGGGATTTGGGAAGAGAGTGACAGCCTCTGAGAAGCCAAGAATGTTGGTTTTGGAGCAGCACATGGAGGCTGAGCTATCAATGAGGCAGAGCTGGGAATATTTGCTTTGGGAAGCGCTGCTTGAGCATGAGTAACGTGGCACTGTTTTGCAACAGAAGAGAAATAAAGGGGGAAAAGGTAAAAGAGAGAGGTTTGTTCCAGGAACTTTCTCTCTTCTGGGAAATGACAGTCATTTCCAAAGCTTGGGTTTACTCTCTCTTAAGGCAGTGCAATTTAGCAAAGTGTCCTCACATCATAGCCTGAATAAATCCCAACTTTAACCAGACTTGAAGTCTGCTTTAACACAGTTGCTGTTGAGATGGTGAATGTGCCCTGTGACCTGGGTGAGCTGAGCTGGGATTCACCTCGCTTTGGGCAACACTACTGGCTTCTCTCTTAGCGGATCTGTTCCCAAAAGCTTGTTTTCCTGCAGTTTGGTATTTGATGAAGTGAGAAGTGATTTAAAAGCCAACAGCTTGGAAGATCATGAAAAGCCCAGTTAAAAGCAGATTGGCTCTCTGAAACTTCATGCCTCGGTGAAGAATTAGAGGAGGTGGCGAGAGGCTTGGTGTTAAATTAGCATCCATCTGTATTAAATAACAGTTCAAGACTTTAAATAGAAAGGCAGCATGTGAGAAGGGAGAAAGAGAACAGGGGAAAGCATTATTCAGAAACATGCCCTTGCTTCAGTCCCCATCCATAAATAAATCCTGAGGCAGGAATATGGGTAAATGTTGAATAAAAGAGCTCAGTGTGTGCAGCAGCTCCTTGTTCTCCCCCTATGGCACCTCCTTGGATGTTACTGCTCCAGGGAAGCTTCTGGGAAGGAAAACCTGAGGGAACAGCTCTTGCAGCCCCTTTGCTTGTCCCTTCTGTTATCCCTCTTCCCTCTCTCCCTCAGCCCCACTCCAGTGCACTGCAGCACTCACTGGTGTGGAAGGGGAAATGCAGAGGGAATGAGCATACAGCAGCCTTGTGCTGTGCCCCTCGCCGTGCCACACAGCAAAGCCACAGGGCTGAGGGAGAGAAGAGAAGCAGAGGGATGGTGGCAGCACCATCTCAGCTCCACCAGCTGAGATCTCTGCCCTTTGGGACACAATTGCCATGCAGAGGGGTTGTAGTTCCCAACAGCTCCTTCTGCCAAGCGCTCAAAGCCCAACACTTGTGTCACCCTCAACTTGGATACAGCTTGACTGTGGGCTCAGGAGAGCTGCTGCTTGCAGAGGCCCAGCACCATGGCAGATGATGGTGTGACAGGGAGCAGTGCTGTGCCCTGGAAAGTTAGCTCCAGTGGGAACTTGCCTATTGGAAGGTGACTTTGGCCAGCAAGGATAACGTATTGTCATCCTCATGGAAGAAGCTTTTGGGAAGGAGGAGAGCCAGGAGCTCAGTTTGCAGATTCCCTGGGATGATGTTCAGCTTAAAAACTCAGTTGTCTTTATCCTACCTCGGGCTGCTGATGCTTTGCTACCACCAGATCTCCATCTTCTGGATCCCCACCAGGCACCTTTCCAGAAAGGAGATTATCTAGGGTCCCAAACTCTACCCCAGTGTGATTTGGAGGTGCAAGGAGGCAGCAGCCTTCCATACTCCACTCAAAGCATGGATCTTGCCAGGCTGAGCCAGCAGGACCTCCCTGGCCTGAAGACTTCAGTCTCAAGCAGGTGTTTGGAAGGAATCTGGTGACCTCTTAGCACTTTGTGGGAAGATTAACCTTATCCCCCCACTGCTTCCAGCAGCTGCTTGGATACCTTAGTGACATTATGAGAGAGACTTGGCACTATCTGTGCCATTCCTCCACCCAACCCAGAGCTGAGCCTGGCTGGAACAGCAGCTATTCCTTCTCCAGGACCATGAGATCAAGCTGCACTAACACAGTGGTGGAGCTAATAGGAGATGTGGGGAGCTGCTTGAGGCAGGGACCTTTGCAGAGGAGCCACAGAGTGCTCTGTAAAGACAGGATGGAACATTGCATTTCCCTGGCAGGATGCAAAGTGCTTGCTGAGGTAGGGACAGACAGGATGCTGGTGCCTGCTCCTTGGCCAGCATTACCTGTTGAAGCTCCTGAAGTCCCATTGAGAGGGTCTCATGGGTGGCTGGTACTCGCCGAGCACGGCATTGTCCTTGTCACCAAGGAGGTCGTGCCATGGGGATCGGTAGCCCTTGGGGATGGCGGTGACATTGAACTTCTCCGGAGGGACTTCTTTGAGGGGACCTGAGTAGCCTGTGGAGGGGGAGAGGACATGGGCTGATGTGGGTACAGGAGTAGGAACATACAACAGATATACCTGTTATGTATTTATACATATAAGGGTCTGGTGCTCGCTGCCCGCAGCCTCTCATTGTGAGCTGACAGTGGTGTCACCTCTGGGGTGCAGGTGGCATTTACCTGGGGCCAGAGCATCGGGGTTGAGGATTTTACTCATCTGCAGGACTTTCTGTGTCTTCTTGGGCACTTCAGGGGGGCCGCCCTGGGGCGATGCTGCCACGTGGAGCTCGGAGTGGTAACTCTGCTGGCCCCCAGCATCCTCCCCTGCCTGCAGAGGGGAGAGTCAATGGGCACAGGGTGCTCCCCCTGCCCTTTCAAGAGGCTGCTGAAAGCATCTTGGAGCCTCCTTCACCAACTCACCGTCCACTCATTTGCTGCTCCCTCCCTGTCACCTCTCTCTGTGCGGTGTGAGCCACCCGGCCCTGGGAGCTGCAGGAGGTGAGGAGAGGGGTTAGTGATGCACAGAGGGACTGGTGCCATCCCCTTGCTCTTTGGTGGATGCTGAGCCTTGCCCATCTCCGTACCCATCCCACCAAGCCACCCCTCCTCTCCCTTCATCTCAATGTAACTGCATGGCTGAGACCCCCCTGACCGCCCCAGGAATCGCTTCTCTGCTGGGAAAGGGCTGTCCCGGTTGGAGCTGGGGCTGAGCCGCAGACCCACCTCCCTGTGGCTGCCGAGGTTCTCAAAGGTGAAGCGCTGCATGCGGCGCTGGCGCTGCTGGAAGAGCCGGGACCCGCGGTTGTGGGGCAGGGAGAGCTCCTCTATCATCAGGTCCTGCGTGGTGCTCATCTTCTTGCCCAGGTCCAGCTGGGGCTCTGGGGGGGGGGGGGGCAGGGGAGAACACAGCCACAAATGAGGCTGCTGCAGGGCTGGGGACCCCCGTGCCTTGTGCAGGGGCAGTGGTGTCCCATCATTGGGGTCCCTGCTGCTGTGCCTGCACCCGGAGCTGTGCCAGGGACCAGTGTGGGGAATTACCTGGGAGTTACCTCAGCTCCAGAGGCTCTAACAGCTCCTCTCACCCCCATGCATGGACCCCTCCAGCCCTCAACATGCAATGGCTGCCCCTTGGGGCTGTAGTGCGAGAGGGCACCAAGGCACAGAGACCCTGCGGGACCTCAACCAGAGCTGGGTCTGGCCCCTGGGCAGGGAGGGCAGCACTGTCCCGGGACTGGCAGCACCCCCAGAACCCCCTTACCATCCTCAGGGCCCGGTCTCATGATGGCCATTACTTGCTGCTGTGCTCCTGGGGCAGCTCTGTGCAAGGGGGACGGATCCTGCCTGGCTGGAAGAGAGAGGCAGCCGTGGGGTGGCACCAAGCATGGGGATGCATCAGCCCCAGGCATTCCATGGGGAGAGGTCAGGCTTGGCTGAGCATCCTCCCTGGCCAGTTTCATCCCTGAGCATCCCCCCTGGCCAGCATCGTCCCCAGGTGCTTCCCTGGTCAGCATCACTCCTATTCTGCTCTCCATTCAGTTATTGGATGCAGGAGAACATTTAAAGCATGCTGCCCTTCAGCCTCTGCCTGTTGCCTTTCTGTAGGGCAGAAAGTGTCCTCCTTGCCCACAATGAGCCAGTGTCCTCATGCCCTGAGCCCCCTGGGAGCAGCACCCATAGCCTGCAGCCGAGCAGGGCCCTGGCTGCCACCCACCAGCACCTCTGCTCCAGCAGAGCTATTTTCAGCCACGGCCCTGAGGGTGTGGGAGCCACAACCCTGACCCTGCCGGAGCTGGGCAGACAGCCAGGAGCTGTGTACCGGGCACCCCACTCTGGGCACACCATACCCTGGCCCCATGGTGGTGATGTCCCCACCACTAAGACTGGAGTGCCCCCAAGCACCCACCCATCCGCTGACCCCAGTGTGGGACCTCACCTCCCTTACCTGGCCAGGGGATGTCCCTGGCGTTGGACACCAAAGATGCTCTCCTGCTGCGCCGGGGATGAGGCTGAAGCCAAGCTGTGGTCACCAGTGCTTGGTGGCCCCAGCTGGTCCTCCGGGACACCCCAGGGCTCCTGCTGCTTGCCCCAACCGGTGCTGGGCTCCAGACCAGATGCCAAGGTCCAGCGCGGGACAGCAGCTATTTCTGGCTGAGAAAGGGGGCGGAGCGGGGCTGACCCTTGGGATTGGGATCTGTCACCCTGCATGGAGCAGGGATGGCCCTTGGGGACTGGGACGGTGTCCATGCAGCAGCAGCAGGAGGTGACCATGTGCCACATGTGCACAGGGCCACCTCAGAAGAGATGAGAGTCAGGCCGGTGGGATAACGGCAGTTTATTTCCAAGTAGGATATACACATGTGTGGCGAAGGCGGGTTGTGGCTGGTGAAGCAATGGGAGCTGTGTCCTGAGCAGGACAAGCTGCAGGGATGGGAGCAGGGATGGGCTGTCTCTGATAACATGTCCTGGAGGAAGGGAAGGGGTGAGAAGGACTCCCTGAACAGGGAATGTGCCAGAGCCCCAGCAGCTCAAATGCATCCTTTCTTGGTGCCTGGCTCATGAGCACCAAGGCCACATGCTCTGTGTGGGTACCGCTGGTCTCTGCTGTAGCATCTCCTGATACCCCAACCAGCTCCTGCTCACCCTTGGCTGGGGACAAGTGCTTTGGGCACCCATTGCCCTCTTTGAGCACCAATGCTCTGCCCAGGCTCTGCCACATGTGTCCACCCTGACACCCTCCTGTCTCCATCACCCATCCAAAACCTCCCTCTGGCACTGCTGCCCTCAGGGGCCTCTGCCTGCCCCCAGCCCCTTGCAGGGGTGCTCATGGGGACACCATGTCCCCAAGACACTCTCATCATCACCTCTTGCACCCGCACCTCCTCCAAGCCCCCTGCAACCTGTACTGCTTCCTTCAGCCCCCATAGACCCACATCCCGTCCCACAACCCCCACTGCCACAGTGCCCACAGATCCCAGTGTGTCCCTCCATCCCACAGGGATGGGGACAGGGATTGACTGAGACTGGGGATAGGGACAGTGACTCAGCGACTGGGTACAGGATGGGGCTGAGCCTCTTTGCCTGGGCAGGGTCTCAGGGCACCTTGATGTGGCAATAAATATCTTTGGCTCTCTTTTTGGTCACCAGGGAAGGATTTGGGGGAATTTCTTTGAAGAAGGGTTAAAAATAAAACCAAAAGAAATAAAGAACTAGGAGGGGAGGCTGGAATAAAACCCTAACTTTTTCTTCCCCAAATCTGGTTTCAATTGAAACCAGCCAGATCTGGAGGCTGGGAGAAGCTGGGAGAGAGGGCACAGCCACCCCAGGAAAGCAAAGCTGTTGTGACACCCTTGGTGACACCTTTGCATGGGGACAGTGGACCAAAGAACCCATCCCCATCCTGGCTATGGGGCATAGGCTGCAGCAGGCAAGGGCTGTGCTCCCCCTGCTCCCTCTCTGCTGCTGACCACGCAGTCCTGCCCCGAAAGGTTAGGGTGTAAAAATAGAGCGTGGCCATGGGCTGACGGGAGGCAGGAGACACCCGACCCCACTGGCACGACGAGGGGCCTCGGCAGCCCCACAGGGGAGAGGGGACACCGGGATTTGGGGACCTGAGCCCCGAGGGTTGATGTGTGCTCAGTGGGGCCGGTCCCGGTGCTGGTGGGGCTGGGGAGAGGGCGGCCTGGCCCGGGGCTGGCTGGTTTAAGAGGTGCAGGGGGCCCCCGAGGGCAGCCCCCCCGCCTTCATCCTTATGCTGCCGGTCCAGCCCCGCGGGCAGAGGTTGAAGCTGTGGATGCCGGGGCTCTTGGTCCCCGAGTCCTCGGAGTCAAGGGAGACGTCCGAGTCCGTCGGGGACCGGGACGTGCAGCGCTTGGCCACGGCCCGTGCGCCCACCACGGGGGATGGCAGCGGGCTCTTGGGGCTGGGGGACAGCGCAGGGACGGGGCACGGGGCCGTGCTGGGTGGCAGCAGGAGCCGGCGACCCTCTGCCCATGGGGCCCGGGGCATCCCGGGGGACACACAGAACTGGGGGCTCTCCGCCCGGGGTGACCGCAGGGGGCTTTTGCGGGTGGTTGAGGGGCTCCCCATCACGCTGCCGGCAGGCTGCAGAGCCGGGGCTCGGCACCCCTCCATCCGTGCCGGCCGCGGGGACTGGGGCAGGCTGGGGGGGCCGGCGGGGATGGGGGTGAAGGGCCGGGAGCCCTCCGGCCCCACGGCTTTGGGAGAGGAGCTCTTCCTCCGGGCGGCGTTGATGATGTTCCTGGCGAGCCGCGCCTGCATCTGCCGGCTGGCCCGCGGGTCGGCGTCCTGCCGCAGCGGCGACAGCGACCGCTCGCTCCACGGAGGGGACATGGGGGGTCCCTCGTCCAGCTCGGGCACCGAGGCAGGGCTGGCCCAGCCGTCCAGGCTGCCCGTGCGCCGCGCCAGCCGCGGGGTCCATGTGGGTGATGCGGGGAGGGACGTTCGCCTTTCCTGGAGGGACAGAGAGCGGGTTAATGCTCGGGGGATGAAGGGGAAAGAGAAGAGAGACAAGGGCAGGATTGGTGCAGGACAGGCTTCATGCATTGCAGCCCCTGCGAGCGCTCCCCAAAAATGCCTCTGTACCCCTCATCATACCAGGAGCAGGCTGAGCCTGCAATCAATGATCCTTGACCAAAGTATGAACCAGGACCTCTCACTACCTGCAGCATCCTAAAGCCTCCTCCAGGACCATCACCCAGTCGCTGCTCCCCAGCCGGCAGGAAAGAGAAGAGCCAGGTCTGACAGCGCAGAGTGTATTCAGAAAGAGGGGGAAACAACGGAAAACACAGGAGAAATGAAAGCACAGTCGAAAGGCAGCTCAGTACCGCAGGGAGCGCAGTGGGAGCGAGGGATGGGCAGAGGCACGGCTGGACCAGGGGCTGAGCATCACCCAGCACCCTGCCTCTGCCCGGCACATCCCTGGCTCCCGGCTGCACAGGAACCCCACAGCATCCCGGTCCCAGCACCATGGGGCTCCGCTGTTCCCCCGGGGATGTGGCTCTTCCTCCGCAGCGTGGAAGCAAACGAGGATAGATCCCGAAGGAGCAGCAACAGAGACAGGAGCAGGCACAGTGAGGCGGAAAGGCGGTGTGTGCCCTCCGGGTTTGCTTTGGTAGGAGGCGATAGGAGCCGGCAGGAGAGAAAGGCTGCGGGTGAGCGGGCAGAGCTAGGCTGCGAGAGCTGGAAAGGCAGGAGGCGAGGGAAGGATGGACGCAGCCAGAGTTGCGATGCTTCGAACAGTTTCCAGGCAAGAGAAGAGAGAAAGTACCGGTGGCCCCATGGGATGGGCAGGCTCCCGATGGCTCTTTGGAATCCTGTGGGCTTTACACCCCGACCTCTGCCACCTTCCCAGGACCCCTCTGCTCCCATTACACCGGGAGCTCGGCAGCGCCTGTCTCACCACTGTCCCAGCACTGCAGCCTCCCAGCTACTTCTATGTCTTTTTTCCCTCCTTTTAGTGGTTGGTTCAGCTTTTGGCACCCCCGTGCGCCGTTAGGAGGGAAGCCCAAAACTCCCGTATTTTCCTCTCCGCCACCATTACTTGTAATACAAAGAAGGTTTCCACACCTGTGGCTCGATGCCGGCATTCCTGGTGGAGTAGGAGGGCCGGGGTGCCTGAAATCCTGCCTTTGCCCGGGGCGGCAGCAAGCGGCATGGGGAGGCCAGCAGCACATCGGCCGGGGCTCCGGGACCAGGGAAGGGGCTGGAGGTGGTTTGGCCAGAACTGGGCATGGCAGAGGGATGCCAAACAGGGGAAGGAGGCAACGGAGAGGTTGGGCAGGAGGCTTGCTGTAAATAGGGATAGGCATCTGGAAGAGAGGGTCTGGGTGGAGGCATCTCCTGGAGCATGGACCTTGTTGGTGACTTGGATGGAGAGAGGATGAAGAGTGAAGACTGGAGCTGGTAGGGCTGGTGCTTGGAGATCTCCAGCTCCTTCTGGGAGACCTCATTCTCCATCAGGTTGCCGCTGTACAGAGATGTTGGGGGGGGTTTGGAGGATCTGGAGGGACTCTTGGGGGGGTGTCTGGAGATCATGGGTGACAGGCAAGCGCTGGCATCGTACTTCCAGGAGGGAGGCAGGGACATGGTGGGTGATGGGGACCGCAGCAGCTCGGGCTGCGAGGGAGCGTTGATGATGAACTTCTCCATCCTGGACTGCCGGCGGGCAAAGAGCTCGGCTCCCTTCCCTCTCGCTTCAGTGAGGTTGTGGCTGGGCTGCGGCTTCGGCTTGGGCTTGATGGTGGGAGACTTGAGGCAGGAGGACCACGCTGGAGCATCATCCGCCGGCAGGAGCTGCTGCCCGCCCCGGGCCGTGCTGTTGGGGACAAAGTTGGCAGCTTCAGCCCCGAGGGCAAAGGGCTCATCCTCAGCACCGGGCTCCCCCTGCTCCTTCTGCTTCTTCCTGCTGTCCGCACTTTGAACCAGGTCCAGCAGAAAGGGGTTGGGACCCAGCTTCGGCTTCTCAACAAAGGTGAACATGGGCTTCTTGCCGGTTCTCCGGGCAGCCGACTGCTCCAGGATCCCTGTTTTAGGCAGGGGGTTCGGCCCGCTCTCCCCACAGCCCATGGGGGGACCTGGCAGCATCTTCTGCTCCTGCGGGGGATACAGGGCTGAGTAGGCAGGGGGTGAGCGGACACGGGTGAGCGGCGGGGGGCTGCTCAGGGTCTCTGCATAGGTGGGTGGTGGGGGCACCTCGGTTGCGGGGGGTCCCTCTGCGGGCTGGCTGCTGGTGGGGGATGCCTGGGTGCCGAAGGGTCTGGCTGTTCGGTTCTTCACCGGATTGGGCTTGGCCAGGGTGAGATGGACCTCATAGTACTGCCGGCCCTGAGCCCCGTTGTGCTGCTGGCCGGCAGGGGAGGCTGTCCCTGTGGCTGTCCCTGCTGGTGCGCTGGGCACCTCACTGGGCACCTCGCCATCCTTCCCCTCCTCGGGGCTTCGCGGCAGGCCAAGAGCCGCCGTGATCGGCCCCGCAGGGGCTGCAGCATCCCCGAGCACCCCTGCCCCGCTCTCCATCCCGCTGGCCGCCCGCTCCTGCACGCCGTTCGTGGCAGCCGATGCCATGTTCTCCTTCAGGTAGAGGCTAAGGGGGACCTGCTGGGCTTCAGCCGGCGGATCCCTGCATGGGGACGCATTTGCCTGCAGCCCGCCTGAGGGGGTGCCCGGCTCCAGCTTCACCCCCTGCCCCTCGCCCTCCTCCATGGCTGCCGGC